CACTTGACCATGTTACCCACTTTGTCAAAATTAACATATCAGCTGCAGTCTCTCCAAAGACTCTCACTATAAAAGAGATTTAAAAAGATCTTAAAATACAAATAGGTTTGTCAACGTCTGGCAACAATTCATGAACTTTTCATGCAAAGCATTTATGACTCATTTCAGATACAACATTTTGAGAAGTGTTTCATCTACCTTTTTCAGTATGGCTGCATCATTCAGAAGAAAATGATGTTGTCATGTTTAATTTCATTAGGCCTAATGCAGAATAAAATACTGGAACTGCTGGTTTTTAATAAGTCTTAAATACTGGAACGGGTTTTCATCTGCAGAGAACCCGTTGGCAACGTTGCATTTTTACTCGCCAAGCTCGCGGTTCATCTACAATGAGCCGAGCTGTAAACGTGATTTTTAGTGCATGTAAATTCAAATTAGCAGACAAAACAATATACAAGCATATGGTAGTAAAAATTCACAGATAATAAGCATGTAGATGTAAAACTAACCGGTTAAACGTGATATACGAAAATAAATTTGTATTAATAAGTTAGCACAGAAAGAATATATTATTATCATAAGACATATATAAGCATTTATAACGGAAATAAAAATTCATTTAAAAAAATATAAATTAGTATTAATATACTGAAATTAACCGTTAAACGTGATATACGAAAAAATTTGTCTTAAATTCCAGTTAACACAGAAAACAATCTATTCCTTACACCAGCAGTGGTTTGCTAAATTTGATGACCATGGTGATGCATCAAACTATTCTGGTTTTGGTTGGTTTATTAGATTACAGCAAAGCACTCGAGGGCTATCTGCCTTAAGGGAGGGATGCCTTCGTGGAGGACTTTTTAAGGGAAACTGGTTCGTATGCACGTTACACATGGGGAAAACCACGAAAACGCCCATGCAGCCAGCCTGTTCGCAGGATTCGAACCTCGGACCGAACTACCAGTGTTCAGCGACGCTACCGCTCGGCCGCTGTTGGGCCTCAAACTATTCTGTCATCTTAGATAATCAATAATCTTTTTATTTCAATTTAATTCATCTATTCTATATCACACCTGCCGTCCTGCTGAAAGGTTTGTTGTTAGAAAAGCATTAACAATATATTATCTGGTTAAAATTTTACACTATAAAAATTGATTTATTCTCAGAATTTTAGGATGACAATAACCAATAGTAAAAATAAAAGCATTACCTTAATTATTTAAAATGCACATACACATTTTTTGCGGTCTACGAAAGCAAATTATTTTAGACGTTGGAAACCTCATGGTTCTTAGGGCCATGTTAAGCTGTTAATAATTAAGAACACAACGTGAAAAGCTGTGTTATAAAGTAGCATTCACCCCTCCTTTCATCCCGAACCGAGAACCGGCATCTACCTACGAAAATATTTCTATCTATTCGTTGCTAAAATATTCAGAAAAAATAATAAAATAAGAGAAGAATAATATAGATCTGCAAATGCGAACAATGACAATTCAACAAAATGGACGCAAGAAGAATGGTTGCAAACTTCGAACAAGCGAATAGGATAAATCCGATGGGTTACCGAGTTTGAACTATTATCTCCAAAGTTGGCGATGTTTACATTTACCAGGTTCTCTGCGGAAGTGTTTCCACTGGAACTGCTGATTTTTCCTACATCTGTTATAAGAAGAAATTATTTCAATGATATCCTAGAACTGCAATTATCGTAGGGTACATATTAATTTGTCAACAGCATTGGTTATTTCATAAATGGAAATGAGAATATTGCTTTTTCTATTCTCACTTTGGATATTCTAAATTGCACTAATGTATACAGCATTGAATTATGTCCATTTTAAGGTAAATTTGCGGAACATCATTTTTTATAAGCTTCCAAACATCTTTTCAGAAACTGAGTCTTTCTTACAAGATTCAGATAGATGAAGACATATAATATTTAGTGATCATCAGTCTGAATCCAAAAAACAGTGTGACTCTTCAGAAGACATTCCTTGTGATCAAAGTGACTATTTTAGTAGGAAAAAGATAAAACAAGCAAAATGGAAGAAAGAACCCTTTCAAATTCAAAGATGCATGGCTTCCCATAATATCATAAAAAAATTGCCTTGGCAATACACATATACCTAAAGATGTGGCTTCACCCATCAATGCATGGAAGCTAATATTTGATGACACAATGATTGTGGAAATGCTCTACTATTTATGTTAAAAAATATTTCGGGAAATTTTAAAGAGATGCAAAACCTATGGAGAAGTGTTTCTTGTTTTTTAGGACTTATGTAAATCCCATTCCCATTATCTATCCTCCCATGTAAATGTTAGAGAATTATGGGTGACTGATGGAAACAGGATTGAATATTTTTCGTAAAACAATGAACTATAAGCGTTTTCTTTTCATTCGTGCCTTTATGATTTGATGATGTCGGAACACGGGATGGCAGAAGAGAGAGTGATAAATAGCTCCAATAGAGATTTGTTTGAAAATTTTGTCAAGAATTGTCAGAAATATATCATGTAGGGGAATACATGACTGGATGAAAAGCTAGAACCTTTTCGTAGGACGATGCTCATTCTTCGGCAGTGTATGCCTAAGAAACCTGCAACATATGGTATAAAGATATTTACTGTGGTTGATTTTAGAATCTTTCTATACTTTCAACATGGAAATTTACTCAGGATCAGTAGCCAGGTGGGCCATACAAAAAGTCAACAGTTCTTGTGAAAAAGGAAAGCGCATCCTAGGCTCCATTATACAATTCTGGAAGAAACGTTACCGCAGTTGGTATACCAGTTTATAAATTGGCCAATTTTTACAGGAAAATAAAATTTCTATCGTTGGAACAATATGCAGGGCTGAGAAGATTATCCCACCTGAATTTGTGTCGAATAAGAATAGAGAACAGCATTCAATCCTCTTCAGGTTTCAAAAGGATATAATGCTACTTTCTTATATGGCTAAAAAGAACAAATGTGTCAACCTTTGTCAACTATGCACAATGATGACCATATTGATGAAAGCACGGGAGATTTGAAAAAATCTGAAATAATTACGTTTTATAACATGACAAAAGGTTTGGTTTATTGATATTATAAAGTACACCAGGGCTATCTGCCTAAAGGGAGGGATGCCTTCGTGGAGGACTTTCTAAGGGAAACTGGCTTGTATACACGGTACACATGGGGAAACCACGAAAACGCCCATGCAGCCAGCCTGTTTGCGGGATTTGAACCTCGGACCGAACAACCAGTGTTCAGCGACTTTACCGATCAGCTGTTCGTGGACCCTCATGAAAAAAGGAGCAGATGATATAGTCGACGTAATGGGTGCCACTTACTCTGGCCTATGGGCATATTTTTTTTTTGTTATTAAATATTGCCAGCATAAATTCAAAGATCTTGCTTTTATCTACTAAAACTCCACCAGAGAAGTTCAGGAACAGGAGGCACTTCTGATTTGGTCTTTTCACTTTTAGATCCTCATTTAAAATCACGACAGAAACAGAAGGAATACAACAAAGATTCTCTTGAAGATTCACAAACAAAGAAAAGAAAATTATGTTACCAGAGATCTTACATGTGCTCAAGAGAAAAAGACAGAAAATCAAAAACTATATATGTGAAGTATAAAAAAATAGTATACTATGTCAACAACACTGTGAAATAGAAACGTCATTCAAACTACAAAATATCTATAATTCTTCTTGAGCCTAACTGATTTGAAAATTAATTATATAACTCACTGTTCATGTAATAATTCTGCATAATTTGGATTATAATTGCATTTAAAAATAAAAACACAAATTTCTCATAGAAATCAATGATTCCTAGTCATATGAAGAAAACATAAGTACTTTTGATTTATTTGTCATTAATTTTAAAAGTACCCTTATTTTTAAGCAATTTTATATAATAAATGTTATAATTAATATAGAATGCATTATTTTACATTATTACATTTGTACGTCGTTTAATTTCGACGCGCGTTCTCGTGTTACATAATAATTCAGCGCGCGTCTTCCCGGGTTAACTTATACACCGCTAAATGTCATGGTTAACCTATTTATTTTACTTGTATATGCTGTATATCTTATAACTTGACTGTACACCGCTCAAATCATCGCTTCCATTTGTTAAATATCTTGCAACGTAACTAACTATACACCGCTAAAATCATGGCCGATTAGCCGTTGGTGAGCTTGGCGAATAAATACGCACCGGCGCCAACGGATCCTTTGCGGAAGAAAACCCGAAAATGGGTCAATGTGTACATGGATAAAGTCAAGGGAGTGCATAATGCCATTTTTGTACAATTCTGGGATGTTTTTTAAAGTGAAAATAGATCGATGTGTACATGGATACAGAGTATGTGCAATTCTTAAAAACGCGCCAAGCAGTGGGCGATTCTGCACTTTCCCCACACAATAAACATTTAAAATCTAGAAAATATTAATGAGAAAAGAAGACCCGAAAAAAAAAGTTGGGGATATTTACAAAAATGAAACTGGTATCATAATTCTGAATTTTATTTTAACCATAACCTTATACTTTTGTCGATAACACTATAAAAATAATGCTTCCTTCTTTCCCTTTAAACGAAATTCAGATTAAAAATAACTGATCCTTAACATAACCTAGCATACGATTGAAAAAGCAAAACAATCAGCATTTTTAACTCACCTTGAAAGGAAAACTAACTATTATTTGACTTGACAAATATGTGTCAATCCTTATATGCGTTCATTCATAAATGTAATAGTCTAATAACACTAAATTACAAAATAATTATAATTAGCAATGATTATGTTTGAAAAAAGAAAGCGGAAATTAATACCGAAACAAAGATTTAACCACTATATTCATCACCAGTACCCTTTAATCACATAGCAGAGGGTAAGATACGAAAAGAAGAATAAACATGAAAAAAGTTTAAACATATATAACTGAAACCGAAGTTTATATATCAGTCAACGAACGCAAAACACAAAACTTACCAAATGAAATTCTACTTCGGCAACAAACTACCTTATAGAAGTCGCCATATTTATTGCAAAAGGTTGCCAGGTCTAATAGTCGTGCCTTGCTGTAGCATAAGTTGTCCTTGCTGTAAGATCTCAAGATCAAAAACAATTATTTCCTCACTGCAATCATGATAACAAAATGTATCTACTATTGTATATGCTACTTTTAAAATTCTACCACATTTTTGTATTGGTAGCGATAATACAAAGCATTTAAAATGTTTCATGATATTTATTTAACTTTGTGGCAACAGCCTGTGTTGTTTATATTGTTAGAGGGGTTTTGATGTGATAAATATCAAGCCGTGTGTTATTGTTTTTTGATATGGCTTTGTTTTCGAAACTTAATAAACAATGTGTTAACAAATTATATACGAAACTTACTAGTCCTGTTATTACTAATCATTTCTCCTTTACAAGATGCTTGACATCTTTAAATATTTCTGGTATATATCCGCCTATCACAACAACATTCGATGAAGATGGGAATATAACGTTTGAAAAAATCATGTATAATCTTGAGAAATGGAAGTCAATTCCATTACGTGGTTAGTTTTACTTTTAAAAAATAATGTCATTTTATTTCCCCGTATTCCATTCAGACTTTTGTTGAGTATTTTTTTTTTTTTTTTTTTTATGCAAGTATTGTGCAAGTACTAAATTTGCATCCTTTTTTTTTTTTTTTTTTTAAATTGAGGAAAATAAACCCTTCTTTTAATTATTCAACTTCTTGGTCTTCACAATGTGGGTTAGGAGGCAGGTTGTAATGTTTCATGAAAAGATTTGGTGTTTCTTGTTAAATTAAAGAACAATAATAGACTTCCATCATGCTTCCTATATTGTATCCTTTTGATTTCCAAATAATTGAATTGATTTTAATGTTTAGTTATATTTTAAAAATACCAAATATATTATGTTTGAATTGCAAAATGTATAATTCAGAATATCTGTAGTAAAGGAATTATTCAGGAATCTAACTGCAGAGATTGTGAGACAAAATAAAGAATTGTCCAAAATGGTGAATAAATTGTTGAAATAAATATTATGTCTAAGAATTCTAGGTTAGTGGTCTGAAAACTCAAACAGCACTTGGGCCAAATGCTCAATCTAAAACACATCTGATGAGTCGGAATTTTTTTTTTTTTTTTTAACAAAATGAAAATTTTTTATCAACAAAATAAAAACTATTTCAAGTTTCTCTTATTAAATATTTGGCAAAACATACATAAACAATAACAATGATAATGCAAAAAATTCAAGTTTACACTTACTTTAATATAAAGGTTGGTATATACAAGAAATTTCTGTTGGTTACGCTTTGTAATTCAAGCATATTGACATCTAAATATTAAATTTTCACACTGAGATCTATTTTAAATAATTTTTAAATGTTAATTAATCATAATGTAGGTGAAAATATTCTTTAACCACATTAACGACGCGGCGCGCAATGATCTGGAAGTTGATCTGTCAGCACTATCCTTATTGTTTGGTGTCTCTCTTCATGAGTCATAAGTTCAAAGATCGTTTCGTTTCAGGAGTCAAGGTTGGGAGAGCATTAGAATTTCAAATCAAAACTTCAAGATTTCACAGAATATAGAGATAACATTTATTAACGATAAACTTTTATTACTTCCACCTATAGCGGCCATGAAACATAATCAAGCATCAAATAAATATGACATGCGTCATTCTTCATGTTCAAGCGTCAAGTGGAATATTTTTCATTGGCGCGCATCAAGAGCGCCTCCTATCTACCAAAAAGACGGAACACTTATCTTCAGGGCAGATGTTTTTATTTTATTTGGCTTATAATTCATTACTAAATGTAGTATTTCATCTCGATGTACTCCGTCTTTGATATGATTTAGATCAAATTCCTCGGCATTATAAATATCACGAATACACACGTAATGTATGCTTTACGCATGCACGCGTTGAAAGAAATGTTTAATAAAGTAAACAAATAAATATAAAGCTTTTTTTTTGTGTGTGTGTGTGTTTGTGTAAATTTTGATACCCTTTAGATCATAATTGCTCATTTTTTCAAAAATTACGGTTTCGTATTTTTAATTTTATAATTTCTGCATGCCATCTTACCAGATTTAAACTGATGATCTATAATCCAGAATCACCGAAGTCCCGACGAGTCCGGATTAAAGACTTTTGACTGTAACAGTTTTATGATTCAACTATTGTCAACTATTGTTAATGTGAAGAACATCAAATTCTGTCAGAAGCTAGGAATGGCAGATGAAATGATTGTGGATGGAATAATTATCTGTGGAAGACATACGTCCTCAAAATGGTGGAAGCAAGAAAATGAAAAAATTGGCAGTGTCGATTTTATTGTTGAAATTGATGGAAGTATTTTTGCAAAACGTGAAAATAATGTTGGATAAATACTCCCTCTCCAACAGATCTTTAAGAGCATTTGTTATGGAATAAGAGAAACATTTCTTGTCATTGTCTCTGATTAAATGCTCTTAACTTCTTTTAACAAACTATATTTCTCACTGAAACAGATGGAGTCCTTTTCAAAATTTTCATTGAGCTCTTCTCAGACATATTTTATTCTTAGTATCTTATTTAACTCATTCACCAGGGTGTTCTTCTTCAGAATTGGGACTAAACTACTCCTTTTCTTACTGGTGTAGTTTGAATCTCGATCATAAAATGGCAAAATGACAGACTGTATTGGTCATTCCCAATGAATGCATTAAGTTGCAAATGCCTGCTGTTGGAAGCGACAAATTTCAGGTCTTGTTTCCCAACCAGTTACACAGAGTGGTTTCAGAATGAATTGCATGTGACTATCAGAATTCCTTAGTAATTCATGGATGCAGAAAATGATGTAAACAACCTTTGCCTCATACCCCAGCCCCTAAAAAAAATTATGCAATTTTTTAAGATTTAACTACATCATTAACCATTAGATTTATGTTATCAAAAGAATAAAGTAAGGTAAGCAGTTGGAATTCCTTGAAAATGCATGCATGTATCCCTCTTTTCACGTAATGTATAAAATAATAATTCAATGAGCTTTTTTCCAATATCTGTGATGCCTCAGTTTCAAAATATTGAAATAAGTATTCCTGAATGGTAACTGATCTAGAACAGCACCACTCTTAAAAAAACGCATTCAGCTTTTATTTGTGACTTTCATCTCATGTGCAGTAGAACTACTGAAAAATATTTGTTTCTATAATTATTTTCATAAAATGGTCATTTAAAAAAAATTCAGTTATTTCAAATGTTTTTCCAAGGTAGATAACCAGTTGTCCTCGTCTGGCTACTGATTGAACATGTCCATTTATTAAGCATCATATTTTGTCCTTCCTCGTCTAAGAAGGATTATACTGACTGGGTTTCCAAACTTCTCACAAATATCCCTTAAAGGAAGATTTCTTTCCCATGGAAACATAATGGCACAGAATAAATTCTGTACAACTTGTTTCCATATTTGTTTAGCCCAAGGGGGCAAATTACCCAGAAGGGCTATGAATTTCATTTATGCATTTTGCATTGATTCACTACAAACAGCAAACCACTTTTTAAATTGTTGTTACCAAATATTAGAGCCCTGTATTATACTTAAAGAAATTTAACTAATAAAGAATCTGTATAAATATATGTATGTTTCTTGCACTGTGATAAAACAACAGTACCTAGAGCCATCAAATTTTGAATAATGTACGTCTCCACCAGAATATAGGCATCTGGAAGCCCAAATTTGGAATTTGTTTTATTATCTGTTTTATATTTTGTAAAGCATTTATAAATTTTTTATTAAGAAACTCAACAAATTCAAAGTGGGCAATGGCAACACTGTACAGAAAAAAAAAAAAAAAATTACCTCCAGTGTGGGAGACTGTGTATCAGAAATTATAAAAATATGCTCTTTTAAATACATTGTGATATTGCTGTTGAATTGAGTTTTATAGTTTAAGCGCGAAGAACGTGATATTTAATAAATAAAGGTAATACACAAAGCATTAAAAAAACACCCACTTGGGTATAACATAGAAATCTTTCAGATTTTTTATTTATTATTATCTTTGCTCTTAATTAGATCTTGTATTGCTTTATATATTAATTTCGAGTTTTGCACTCATAGAGCGAACTTTTCCCAATGGTTTATCTGAGTTTGAGATAGTTTGGAAGACCCTTTCCCAAGTTCTGTATGTCCTACTAGAAAGCTACTGGAACTGAAATATTTGTACATGTAGAAATACCTTCCATTTCTCTCACAAATTTGCACTATTACTGGTAATTCGTTTGCAGTTTGCTGTGATATTGCTACATGTTTGCTGTGATATTGCTACAAGTACATGAAATTATGCAGTGCCTATCTGAAGTTCTGGCCCCTTGAACTGGCTGTGTCTGTAATGAAAAGTTTTTATGACAAAGAAAGGAGATAACATTTTGCAAGGAAACAGCAGATAAAAATTAAATTTGACAAATCAAAAAAGCTTCAAACCTTTAGAAAAATAAAATAAAAATTAAAAATTCACTACACGTTTTTACTAAATTCACATCTGAAAAAAATAAGGTTAATCTTTGGATTATGGTAACTTGGCGATTTTTTGGCGAAAATTTAGCAACCAACCCCCTGCTACAGCATCTTGCTAGTTTTGTTTTGGACGCCATTTTGTTTTTACGAAGTAAAGGCTTTTTTTTTTTTTAATACTCAATATTTTTTTCCAACAATCTGCTAGCCAAATTACGCTTATGCTAGAACTTTTATGGAACAAAAGTACTTAATCATGACGAAGATTAGGTGCGAAATTGGGAGACAGAGCAGAATCGCCCACTGCTTGCCGCGTTTTTAAGAATTGCACATACACGGTATCCATGCACACGTCGCCCAATTTTCACTTAAAGAAATATCCCAGAATTGCACAAAAATGACATTGCGCTCACTCTTGACTTTATCCATGTACACTGCTAGAGTCCTAGCTAGTAACCTTTATCGCCTTACCAAAATGTCGCCAAACTACCTGTTACCATATTCCAAAGATTAGCCAAAAATAATTGTAATTCCCATTGTACATGTTATTATTGAGAAATTTTTTGTGTTTTTCTTTTCACAGAGGAATTAAAAATTGTGTACTTTCCATTCTAGGTTATGTTGTTATGGGCTCAACTGGAGAATTTGTCTCCCTCACTGAAGATGAAAAGATTCAGATTGTAAAGTGTGTTGCAAAAGCCAATTCCAAAGATAAACTAATTATAGTTGGTACTGGATGTCAATGTAAGTTTATATTTTTGCATATAATTTTAATTTTTGCATTTAATAAAATGTTAGTTTTCTGCTCAATTTCAAAATTAATTCTTTGAAGTAATTTTCTTTTATGATGATTAATGACATTTATATTATAACAAATCAAATTATTTTTCTTGTGTAATAATAATTTCTTGTTTATAATGGGTGAAATGAAAGCCAAAATTGATAAAGAGTCCGAGTTCAGGCTAACCATTGCAGTGATCGGCAAACGTTTTTGGAAGTGGGCCAAAAATCAAAAGAGAAAAAATGTAGCAGACTAGAATTTATTCTAAAACTATAAAAAGAGTAACTCTAATCTTCATTTAGTGAGGATATGAAATTAATTGCATCTTGACAGTTGACATCTTGAAAAATGCAAAGTCTGAAAACCATGATGTATCTTCCAACGCTCTGCTCTGCAAAAAACTGTTTCTCATGGAAGAACGACGCAATGTCATCTTTCAGATACCAGACTTACTTGAAAATACATTCTGCTCTCTAAGCGGCCTTAATTGTGTGCAATGCAGCACATTAGAGTATTCATACTGCATGGACTGAAGAAAATCTCGAAATTGCCTGTGTGTACATTAATGAGATTGAATAACATTTAGATGCACAGGTTTCAAATTCAGTGCAAGTTTCCATAGGGCATCTTGATGTGTTACGCAGTGTGCAAAGAACATTTTCCTGTGATAATTTTGATTAAAGAATCCAAGAAATCCAGATTGTTTTTTCCTTACCATATTGGGTAATTGGTCATAATATTTGTCACAGGTATTTTCAAAATTGAAAGCACTTCCAGAAATTCATGCAAAATATTGCATCCCTATGTAGTTCCCTTTAAGGACTTAAGGACTGTGTTGCTAGTTCCTCAATAATTTCAAAATTCTCATCAACACTTTTTATAAATAGTACTAGCTGAGTAATAACATTTATATTAGCACTTTCATCTATAGCTATAGAGCAGAATTTATACTGGCCAAACTTTGACTCTAAACTGTGATGCCAGATTTTTATTGATGGCTTTGACTCTTAGAAGTTACCATTTTCGAGATAAGCTTACAGCAAGGGTTCTTAACCTTATTCTCCATCTGGGTACATCTGACAAACAGAAAATGCTGGTGAGTGCAGTTAAAAAAAAAAAAAAAAAAAAAGTGTAATGATTAAGGTTTAAGACTGTAAGCTAGAGTTAAAAACCCCTGGCTTACAGTCTCAAAATCCATTTTCTTATCTGTACATAAAATATCACAAACTTGGAGCATGCATTTTTTAATGAATTCCCCATAATTGAGAGCTTTATTGCTTTTAACAGTATTGTATTCTACAGTGTAACTTTCATGTGTAGCTGCTTCTTAAATACTATTTACTTTCTTAAAACAAATTTGTCAACTAGATAATCCTTTACAAAGTTTTTTTTTTTTTTTTTTTTTTTCATAGTCAGACGTTGCTTCATAACTGGAATTCTTATGCTTTGATATAAAGTACAGGAATTATTATATTCTTTGAAGAACACTACAGCTTCATTGCAGATGAGACCTTTATAGTTATCTATATATATATTTCCGGGTTCATTCACCTTTAAAAGCATGACACTATGAATCAACTTTATGTTTTTGGTAGACATTTTTGGGTTGAAATATTTTTCAAGTATCCTCAGTAATCGAAACAAGCACCAACGTCCCTATACTTTTCAATATTTTCACCTCTATTCACAATGATGCTGTCTGTATGCCATCTTTCCATTAAATCATAGATGCAATCAGTTATACCATAGAATTTGATTCTATTTGTCTAGAGTTTGATTCTGAATGGAATCTACCAAACTATATGGTAAAACTTTACCACAGAATTACATTACACAGTTTATGTAAGTATTTTCTTTTGAATCCCTCAGCAATAAGTTCTTCAAAAAATTCTTACCACTTATAATTAACTGGAAATTTTCTGAATTATGTTTAATGAAAATATGCATTTTCAGTTGTTTTGTATCCTGTGTTAAAATCACAGTTTCAGAGTTATATTACAAAGCTCCTCATAAAACATAAATTTCAGATAAATTCCATCACACCTTGATTACAAGTCAGAGATACATAATTCCACTGACATTCCTTCAATCAAATTGTTCAGGCAGTTGCTTATGTTGGAAAATATAGTTTATTGTAAACCTTTTACTGCATCATCTCTCCTCCTTGAAATGTTTATTTAGTTTAGTCCTTATTTTAATGTAATATAGTAGTTACTTCTACTTCTTTTTCTTGCTGCCACTGTTTGCATTGAGAACGGACTGTTTCAACCTAATTGAGATGCAAAAACGAAACGTGATGTTACGTCATCTGTAAAGCCGATTCGTGCCGATAGCTGATTGGTTGCCGTGAGATGACGTCATTCCTACTTCTGCTATAAGTATCTCGCGTCGCTCTAGCTCAATCCTTCTAGTTCCTGCTTTCCTGGCACTTGAGTGAGCAGTTTCCACCCCCTTCAGAAGGATGCATGCAGTCCGGTGAATAAAGTGCCTTGGTTCCGGTTCGCGGGATGGCTGTTCTTGAATAAAGTTCCTTGGTGCCTGTCCGCGGGATGATTGTTTCCGGAATGAGTTCCTTTGGTTCATATCCCATAGATTGTTGATCCAGAATAAAGTTCCTTGGTTCCAGAGGCTACCATATGAGTGACTGCTGTGGGCGGCATCCATGTTCTTCAATGAAGGCGGCGATTCCTCGTGCAAACGGAGTTAGGCCGGTTTTAAGTGTTTTCAAGAACTTGATTTAAATTTCAGGTGTTTTTCTCGACCATTGATTATGGACTTATTGAATATGTAGCCAGCTTCATTTTTAGGCCGCATAATTACTGTTTAGGACATTTTGTTTGTATTGAATGCCAGTGTTTTGGAGACCAGGTAAAAATATTATTTGATGAATGATGGTTATATTATATTTTTCCTAAGACTGATATTGTTGAAATTTATTTTCTGTGTTTTTATTCTTTATTATATTGTTAATAAATTGGTTAAGTTCAAAATCTTTTATTGTCTTCAATGTCTGCACAACATATCTCAGGGAGCTTTTATTGCTACTACTGCTAAATGTTTAATTTCTTTAAAACTTTAAACTTTGCTTTAGCATCAGCTTAAATAGTCTCTTTAGAAGCTAAAATTTGATTTGTGGACTGTTTTAAAACTATACACACATTTAAAAAAATCTGATTATTGTTTTGTAATTGATCCAGAAAGGAATCCCATACAAGAATCCAGAATTTCATATTGAGGAAAGGTAAAGTTTTCTCTAAAACTAAATTATAATTTTTATAGCCCTCATATAAAACAAAAAAAAAAATTGTCTTAAATATCCATTTGATTTGAATTAGTTAAAAGCCAGTGCTCCATATTTTTAAGGGCAAAATCCATACAAATGCACTTAATAAACAGGTTTACTGAAAATAAAGTTATGAGTTGCAGCTTTATTTACGAATGCTAGTTTACTAATAACAGAACTATTAATCATTGCGGGATTGCCACGCTACCTGGAAAACCGGAAAAAGTTGGAAAATTCGAATGTTGACCAAAATAGTCAGGGAATTTAAGTATTTTAGTCAAAATCTGAAAAAAGGTCAACGTATTTCATATGGTGATTCTCCCCCCCCCCAAAAAAAGCGAGTTTTTCGCCAACGTTGGAAGTGATAACTTTCTTGAGGAGTTATGTATCGCGTGAGCGCCATTCGGGCAGTTGGCATAGAGGCAATTTTCGCAGCTGTAATCAGATTGGCTTTTAGAAAGGAAAAGCAAGTTTCCAGTAACCTCGAGAATCGAAAGACTTGTATGCACATGTACAGTGCATGTTGAACTAAAAAAAATAGCTTCCCATTCTAGTATAAAACAAAAACGGTTTAATCCTTCTATAGGATACCATGGAGGTTAGAATAGCATCCGTGTCAGTTGCGGACACTTAGCCGATGGGACACTTAACCAACACCAGTTAGCCGACAGGACACTTAACCAACACCAGTTAGCCAACAAGACATTTAACCAACATCAGTTAGCCAACAAGACATTTAACCAACACCAGTTAGCCAACAAGACATTTAGCCGACCGGGGCACTTAGCCAACTGGACATTTAGCTGAAACGGCCACTTAGCCGACACGGACACTTAGCCAACAGGTCATTTAGCCGACACAGACACTTAACCAACTAGACACTTAGCGGACAGGACAGTTAGCCGACAGGATATTTACAGGACAGGACATTGGACACAGAGAGTTAGACGTTAGGACATTTGGCTACGGGACACTTAACTGTCAACGCATTTAGTCAACAGGACACTAAGCTGACAGTGACGTAAGCTGACACGTACCCAATAATTATTCAAACTTACTATGAGTTACAAAATTTCCCAACTTTTCCATAAGTTCAATATTTAAGTTATTTTTTCACTATCAGTAAAATTCATTTTTCGATACTTAAAGATCTGATATGTTCTTTTAATTATTGTGTTAATTTAGCATTGTTTGATATTTATCGTGCCTTTTAGTGTATATTGGCCAAATTGAAAAAGTACTGAAATTTCTCGTCAGGGAATATGAATTGAATTTCGAAAGGAAAAAGAATTTTTTTAGCTAAGTATGGAGGTCATTTAATTACATTTTAATATGATCTTAAAAAATTATCCATAAAGCTTCTTCATTTAATCAACTGGGTTCTTTTGAGCACCTTCACATCATTAATAATTTTTCTTGTTTACTTAATGATATTAATTTTCCAATCTTGCTCCTCCAAATGCTTTCAAATTTCTAATACCTTTACGTTTCATTACTATTTTACTCACTACATCATGTTATATTCTTTCTCATACAAAATTGTTTGGCTCCTCCCACTAATAAAATTTCCTTTCCCTGTCATGAAAAATGTGAATAATGCAATAAAAATTATTGTTATTTATGAATTATACTTTTTATAGAAACATATATTGGTGAGGATTAGTTTAGCAAATGCAGTCAAAAGTCTTTACCAAACTCGTCGGGACTTCGATTCCGGATTATAGATCATAAGTTTAAATCTGGTAAGATGCATGCAGAAATTATAAAATTAAAAATATGAAACCGTAATTTATGAAATAAAGAGCAATTATGATCTAAAAAATATCAAAATTAAAAAAAAAAAAAAACTTTCTATTTATTTATTTTATTAAACATTTCTTTCAATGTAAGTTGTTTAAGTTGCTTCGTTTTATGTGCTAATACTTTCTCTTTAATTCTATAAACAGACATAATTTCTTGTTCAGTTACAAAGTTTCGCTGTTCAAGTCCTGTAATTGCTATGCCGAGAATATCGACTAACTTTTCAATCAAAATTTTTTCTTTTCACTAACCTCTCTGTCACTTTTTTCATGCCTTTATCCATTTTTTGCAGCTATTCCACTTTTTGTTTGATGGACATCGAAACATGCTTTCGCTTTTTAGATCCTTTGGCAGCTCCAGAACCGGAAACTCTTTTGACATAATCGAAAGTTCAAACTTACTTTTTATAAAATTGCTCTAACAGTCTGCAAAAAATAATAAGCTGGATCCAATTAGAAGATTAAGGAACAACGCAATCTGCAACATTAACTGAAATAGATAATTAGATAATTTTAGCTTAGCTTATACCGTCCGTTACACATTAAACGGGCATGTGTAAACGTATTATGCGCATGCGCAGAAAGTTTGTAGCTTTGAGGTCCGGTTTATGGACGTCTGGATTAAAGAATTTGTACTGTATTATGTATATAATTACAAAACAATTTTTTAAAAACAAAATATCAACATGCCTAGTATTTTTGCTCATTAAGCTGCTGGAAAATTATCAGTAAAGACATTAAGTAAGAAATTTAGGACTAATTTTTCACGAAGAACAAAAATTGAAATTTATAATTTATAAATTTCAAATAATGAAAAACAATTTTTAAAATGTTAAAACCAGAACTTTTCAAACAAGCAATACCCCAATTTAAAAAAAAAAAAAAGAAAAAGAAAAAAAAAGAAAAGAAAATATAATACAGTACAAAGTCCGAAATGCAGACTTGTCAGGACTTCAGCGATTCCGGATATTAGATCATAATCCAGTAAGAAGGCATGTAGAAATTATAAAATTAAAAATATGAAATCATGATTTATGAATCAATGAAATATTTATGATCTAAAGCATATCAAAATTTACAAAAAAAAAGCTTAATATTTATTAGTTTACCTTATTAAACATTTCTTTCAATGTAAGTTGTTTAAGTTACTTTGTTTTTTTATGCTAATACTTTTTCTTTAATTCTGTAGGCATACATAATCTCTTGTTTAGTTACATTGTTGAAGTCCTGTAACTGCTGTTTGGAGAATTCCGACTAACTTGTCAATTGAAATTTTCTAATCAGTAACTTCTCTGTCACTTTCTTCACTATTGGTAGCAGTATTTTCTATATCTAGAACCATACTACAGTTTTCGCCATCCATTAACTGAATGATGATTGAAAAGTATTGTCATCACAATAAAAAACTTGTTTTATATCATCTTCATTTATAACCGCTTCTCCACATTTCTTTACAAAATCCATTAATTGGAAAAGTTCACCTTTGTTTTGCGATATTCGAAAACCTTTAAAATTAGCGGCTGTCATCATCAAATTTTGCTATCCTTCACCATACACTTTTGGCTATGCATCATGAGCTTAGCGACTAATGACAAGTTGTTCCGCTAAATTTTTTCTTGTTTCTATCGCGCACTGAGACAATTAAGCTTGAATTTCATTAATTTAGTTATTTATTATACTTATGCCTATTTCCTGCACATGCTTAAGGCTTATCAGTGTTCTGAATAAATGAATTCCCACATATACTTAAGCCTTAATAAGGGCATGCACTAGATATCTTACCACCTGATGCTGTCTCTGTGGGTCCTAAATTCTGTAACTCATTGCAGCAGGTTCTGGGTTTATGTGAATAATAAATCATTTATTCTTAATTCAAATAGAATAATAAATGTAATCTTTAGGTCTATGATTATCATCAACAAAATTTATTTTTAGCATACGGAAAGAATTTTTTAAAAAATTTGTCCTCAACAACATTTTTTAGCGCATTTAACTTAAATCTGTAATCATCGCCAAGGGATAAAAATGCTCATCATCAACATAAAAGTTTACCATATTCCTTTATTATTCAATTACTAACATAAAAAAATTGTTTAGGCATCGCTACATAAGTCATTACTCAAGTTGTCATATATTGATAAACATGTGGTGATGAAAGGAAAGTATAATAAATAATGATTTGCCAGGTAGGCATCAGAGCAACGATGTATCTATGTGGAATATTTCAGCTTGAGATGTGTGCCAAGCACAAACGCAGCAACGAAGCCAAATTACTGATTTTACAAAATTTATGCTTAAATGATTGTTTCTAGATGGAGTTTATAATGTAAATGATACATTTGTTAAATATAAAACATATTTATCATAAACTTCATAAAGAAAACTATTTGAACATACAATTTTTGTAGAAAATATATATGGTAAAGTTTTTTTCTGTCTTTTTAAAAAACCTTTTGTTACACTAAACTACTTGAATACATAATTTTTATAAAAAAATATGAATGCTAAAGGTTTTTATTGTTTCCTTTTAATTTTCCTCAGTCCGTATTGCTCTTCTCTAATTTTTTCCTCCCTTAATAATTGTAATGATAACATTGGCTGCCAAAATTCATCATAAAGAAAAAAATCTTTCTTTTAAAATTTGCGTCTCCTAACCTTCATTTCCATAAAATTATTTATCAATACTTGGACGTCCATTTTCTCAGCCATCTCAGCTTCAACGCTCAATAGTGAAAGGTTTGACAACCGATCTTGTGTCATACTGTTTCTTAAATATGTTTTTATTAGTTTCAGTAGTGAAAATGACCTCTCACTCATGGCTGTGGTTACAGGTAATGATAAATACAATATAAGTGAATTGCACACTCCAGAATAACTGCTTGTCATGTCATAATATTTTACCATTGCTAATTTAGCTAAATCCTTAAAAGGATTTCAAATTTTGATTTCCTGTTCTGAAAGTATTTATGAATAATAAAAGTTGTACTTCCAGTGCAAGTCTTCGTTATATGTTTTCTGTGTTTTTGAAACATTATTAATAATTCTGTATGTTTTAATAATGACAGTGTTTTAGGTTCTTTATTTCTCTTTTATTTTTCAAATTTAGTTTCTGTGCCCCATTTATTTGCAATAAACTCAGCTTCTTTCATAATGTCTTCAAACTTGTTCCGCATATCTTGCATATTAATAGAAACGCTTTTTAGATGTTGATGAGCTCCATTCAAGTCGATTGATTTTCGATTGTCGAGCCGATTCATTGGATGATCGATCCTGCACTATAGTGCAGGACGTGTTTAAAAAATTTTGTTTTTAATTTTGGCCCATTATGATGTTTCTTAATGTATGGAAACATAGATTATATTTATCATAAAAATATTTCATGTTAATATAACAATACGTTATTAATATTAGTAGACATTTCCATTGTTAATGGTGATAATTTTGGATTTTTCAGACAATGGTTTAAAAGTGTAGCTGAATTGAATTTTTAGCAAGTTTTAAATTATAAGAATTTAGTTTATGATTAATTTAGATATTACAAATCAATAACTTACCTTTATAATGAAGAATCATATTTGGTATGACTTTGAAATTTAATTTTAAAGAAAAACTTATGTTTGTTCTCGCCATAGACTAGACAAATGGCATTAGAATAAGAGCAAGTTTAAGTTCAGTTTACTGTTCTGAGTCATCAGCCAATTTACAAGCATACTTGAGCGGTAGCGTTTCATACTTCAATGCAGCTGTTTAACAAAGAAAGGGACCCCGCCTCCACTATAAATTTCCAGTGTCGCCCCAAGTTGAGTCACAGTAAAACTTTCATCCAAGACTTTACTGTAAAGATGTCGATTTCCCGTTTAAAACTCTGAAACATCTGTTTTTTTCTTTTTCCCTTCAGTCAAATTGTACTACAGTCAAAAGTCGTTAATCCGGACTCGTCGGGACTTCGGCGATTCCAGATTATAGATCATCAGTTTAAATCTCGTAAGATGGCATGCAGAAATTCTAAAATTAAAAATATGAAACCGTAATTTATGAAATAAAGAACAATTATGTTATAAAGGGTATCAAAATTTACAAAAAAAAAAAAAAACTTAATATTTATTTGTTTACTTTATTAAACATTTCTTTCAATGTAAGTTGTTTAAGTTGCTTCGTTTTCTGTGATAATACTTTCTCTTTAATTCTATATAAACAGACATAATTTCTTGTTCAGTTACAAAGTTCCGCTGTTCAAGTCCCATAATTGCTGTGCCGAGAATACCGACTAACTTGTCAATCGAAATTTTTTCGTTTTCACTAACCTCTCTGTCACCTTCTTCATGTCTTTATCCATTTTTTTCAGCAATTCCACTTTTTGTTTGATGGACATCGAAACATACTTTCGTTTTGTAGACCCTTTGGGAGCTCCAGCATCGGAAATTCTATTTGACATAATCGAAAGTTCAAGTTTACTTTTTATAAAATTGCTCTTACAGTCTGCAAAAAATAATAAGCGGGATCCAATTCGAAGATTAAGGAACAATGCAATCATTAACATTAACTGAAATAGATTATTAGATAATTTTAGCTTACACCGTCCGTTATACATTAAACGCGCAGGCGAAAATGTATTCTGCAGTTGCGCACACGCATATGCGCAGTAGTCAAGGTCTTACGCACACGCGTAAAACGCCTGTGCGCATGTGCCAATGCGGCGCATGTGCAGAAAGTTTTTAGCTTTGAGGTTTTTAGCTTTGAGGACACCCATAATCATTCCGGATTATGGGTGTCCGAATTAACGACTTTTGACTGTATTATTATTGTCATATTCCAATGATACATATTACATCACCTGCAATATCTTTCTACATTTCCTCTGTACTATAAATGCATTTCAGTTAATGTATAATTATTAAATATTTAACAGTAAAAATTATGGATATTCAAATATTTTTAGGAAATTTCTCACAAATTTACGATGAAATCATAAACAGGTAGAAACAAATTTTATTGATATGTATCCAAAGAGCTTTGAAAATGATTGTGTAATACAAAATGGAAATTTTAAAATTAAACACAAAATACTTATGGTACGAGGCTTTATCTAAATTTAAATACCCACTGTAGCAAAATATGACGATTCCCTTCCAAGTTTCAAGGTCCCAGAAATGTTTAATAATTTAGAGTTAAGCTTACTGATACTAACGTATATTTGAAGATGAGTACTACTCACATTCTGTCACATGGATTCTAAAAGTAGTACACATACATTTTCTTCATAATTAGTTAAAATAAAATTGTATGAAACAAGTTTCGCATACTTCGTAGAGAAATGCGCAAATTTATGAAAATAGGTTTGTTGTACCCCAAGTGGATCAGAAAGCAAAAATCAGTTAGGAAAAGCGGATATATTTTAGGAGCATTAATATTTATGATTATTGTTATGTTTTATTTGCGTCTTAGAAAGCTATTTATGTCTAGGAAATTAATGACCTCAGATTTCCAGTCTTTACATTGCTTATAAATTAAGCAGTGTCAATATTTTTATCTTAATCATTAATTTATTAATGACAAAAACATAAAAAATAAATATAATGTATGGGAACATATATTAACGGAAGCTATTTAAGTCTTAGAAAAGTTATGCAGTGATGCCAAAATAAAAGAGAATACAGTCAAAAGTCATTGTTAAAAACATTGTAATTTATTATATTTTTTTCAAAAGAAGAGAGATTAATATATTACTTTCAAAACAAATTTAATGTCTTCAGAATTATATTTGTTACAGAGAAGTGTGAATTTTTGATAGATGTGTAATTTACAGGTTAAGAAACACTATAGCTCTTCTCTTTTCTAAAGCAAATCAAGTAAATCCTTAAACGAGTTTTGCGTTTTCAGATTTAATTCTCGATTAGGGGTTTTAAAGAATTCCTAACCTGCATTTTATCTGCAAATGTGAGAATATTTTGAAATGAAAAATTGGATAAATATTTATTTACTCATTATTTAAAGTAAAAATATTCATCCATTCCATTTCCTACCCCCATGAGTGTAAAAGTAATGAATTTCGATAAATTTAATGAAATTTTTTCATTAAATTTATTTACGCCGGAAATTAACTGAAATATTTGGCTGCTTGATGTTTGAGTATCTGTATGTTCGTAGCCTGTCGTAAAACTTCCCCCCCTTTTTTTCGGACCTTGAATTCATTCAAAGATCCCTAAGCCGAACGGGAAATCTCTGCTCTCCAAATGTGGTGCCATAAATTCTTTGCATTTCCTGGACTAGAACGGCATTTCGACATGGGGGTGGGGCAAAGTCCTTTCATGACACAACTGCTCAACTTACGTCAATGATTTTGTGTCCTTAAGAAAGAAAAGCATGTATTCTGGAGTTAGCAATTAATACTTACGAATCATTCCTCCCCCCCTCCAGCTTATTAGT